AGATCAAATTGTTAATGCTTGTCAGTTAATTGTTTTTATGTTATTCTTATTTCCTGCAAACTTCTTATTTCTCACTGTTTACTGCCCAGTTTTATTTTTAGAACAGATGCTGATTGGATTAAAAGATGGCGCACAAGGTGTTGGTCTCGTACTTTCTCTTTCTGTTGCTTTCATGAATACTTTGCTTCAGAGTACTGCAGTAAATGTGAGTTTTATTTCTTGAAAGCTTGCGGGGTAAAATTTTGACTGTTACTCCTTATTCATTCCAGTGTGCCTTTTAATTACTTCTGTAGCTATCTTATTTCGTCAAAAAATTAGTTATTTAGAAGTGTACTGTTTATGGAATTCCCGTAAGTTTTGTTCCGGTGACTACGGCCACAGTTTCGGAGTTGGTTCGAGTTGTGTTAAAAAGTCTTATCACTCGGAACAAAGATGTTAAAGATGATGAAGGTGTGGATGACGTGGGAGCAGCAGTTCTCCATGAAAATAATTGTTTACAGGATGCAAGCGTTTATTCGGGAAATATTTCCTTAGAACTGGTGAGAAGCTCTAACTGGTTCTTGTAAGAAGGGCAACCTTATTTGTATAAATGATTGCATCTTAGTGAAGCATTTAAACATTTTTTTAGGGAAGTGCATTGGAAAGGTTAAAGATCTGTGGCATCACTGAATTGACACCTTGTCAACAACTCGAGATTTTGAAGGGGCTTATAGATTGCCTTCAGGAATCAACTGTTTTTAAATCATTTGTTGAGGTTGAGGTCCCCAAGCAAATAAGAAAGTTAGCTGCTAAAAAGGAAGTTCTTGAAAAAAGTGTAAGTTTTCAATCGCTGTAAACTGATGCAATGTTTTTTCATTTGATCTTTTTTAATTCTTGGTTTCTAGGATATTCCATAAGGAAAATTGGGCTTCCATGTTTTAACTCCTGTGCTGGCAAAAAGAATCTTTGATTAAATGGCCGTCATTTCTAAATGTTGCTTTTTAGCAAAGAACCAGTTTTA